TTGCTTCGTGATCCCTGCATTTTTATACCCCTGCTAATGAGACTACACCTAGCTGATGGGGGTTAAAGCAATAAACCATAGGTCCAATGCCACCCCACACCCCACACACGAACACACTCCATAAACAACTCTGACCTTTCAATGAGCTCAACCAGTTCTTATGCCGCTTCGAGAGTCAATCAAACACCATCAGCCAGGACCCCATCACTCAGCCTCAACCCCTATTGACAAATTCCTCCCCCTCTCCTTAGAGTTGGCTAGCTCCACCCCTTCCCCACCCCCTACCTCACCTGCTTAAATTCAAAACACTGTTCAAGAGACAGAAACTCTGCCAAGCAGCAGGGCTGGACCGTCTCCCTATTCCATCCTGTTCTGATCAGCTATCTCTGAGCCCCCCCCCCCGGACTAAATTACTTTAGATCTGTCACCCTGACCTATGTGGCAATAGGAGACCTTTGAGCGATTTCTGCACACACACCTTATATCCATCACAGACCCTGTTTTGGATCCCCTGCAGTTCACATACAGAGCAAAATGGTCTGTGGATGATTTTCTACATCCTGCATCACCAGGATTCCACTTCTTGGGCACCATCATCTCAAGTGGAAGCTGAGCAACACCCCCTCACAATTGACAGAATGTACTTCCTGAACCAGCTGAAGTTCTGCCTGCCAGTGACAATGATTTTACCCTGCCATCACTGAGTCCATCCTCTCTTCCTTCATCACCACCTGGTACATTCCTGCCATCATCAGGAGAAAGAGCAGGCAGCAGCATATAATTTCCTCTAAAGAGAGGGTGATTGACTGCTATCTTTCTTCTCTTCAGGTACTGTACACCTCCAGGACTCGGAGACCCCTCCCACTCTGGACAAAAAGAGTTTCAGATGTTCCTCTCTGCTAGAAGACTGCGGTCCATCAGCACCACACTTTATCCCATGAAATACTATAAATATATCTCTGCACAAAAAGGCCCTCATTGTTAAATATGTTAGCCCCTTAGCCCCCACCGCCCGGCTCCTGGTTGCTTTTCCATCACATTTTGTTCTGCATTTAAGAGCAAGCTTATTTTTAAACAAAACCTAAAATACTGCATGTCTATTAAATCAGGTGATCCTAACGAAAACCACAATCAACTCAACTGTAAGCCTATTATGCCCCATAAACAGTAATACATAATAATTAATAATCTGTCATCAAATTACAACTCATAATCTTCACTTCTAATCTTTTTTGTGTCTTCTTTCATTCCGATTAGAGTACTATCCTGGCATAAAAGGGCTAATTTCATCCTTAACACTTAAGAAAAACGTAATATTTTGCCATAACTAAATATGTCTTGTAATAATTTACTATATCATTTTATATAGATAAAAAAATATAGCACTCATTTATGTGCATAAGGAGCGGGAGTAATGTAGAAATGATTGGGTATGCACAGGAAATGCATTGTCAAAATTCTTGAAGCTGAAAAAGTTATATACATTAAATTAAAATAATCCAGTTAGGCACTTTTGGTCCAAATTTGGAACAATCGTGCAGACTGGTCCTTTGCATACAAAACATGTCTGAGTTTCACAATTATATGACTAGAGATCTGAGATTTTACACAGTTGTTGTCCACAACTGAACAAGTGTAGAAAGTCTGAGGTCAGTTATGAACTATACTCAAGAGAGAGAATATTAAGAAAACGTTTTTTTTTTGTTTTTTTTATGCAAGGAGAAAAAATATTTTGGGACATATTTAAAGTTACGAAACTCATTGTGTTAAACTTACGTATTTTGTATAGATATCTGTAGAAACTAGAAGAGCCAGTGGTATTGGGTATGCACTTCATTTGCACAAGCTATAAAAAGGTCAGTATTAAGTTTAGTATTAAGTATTTAAGTTACCGTGTTTTGATCTCTCTGTTCAGCACCGTTTTGCCCCTCTTGGGATACTGTAGTTTAGTGGTATGATGAAATAATTGGAGTGGTATATTCAAATATATTGTAGTGGCAGTGCCTTTACCTTCATCTGTCTGTTCTTTTTGTAAGTTGGGCATTAATGACAAGTATTTTTAAATAATTTGTGGTTTGTAATCCTTTTCATTAGCTGCTATTTTTGCTTGCTATTAAGGAGCTATCTTACGCTAACTCCATATGCATTTCAAACCACTGTGCTTGATTTTTATGCACACTGACATGTTTAAAAGTATGCATATTAGTTAACTGTACAGTTTCTTCTTTTTTTAATTCTGGGTACTTTCACTCTCCCCAAGCTTAATTCTCTCTTTGTGTTCGAGTCCTATTTTCCTTATTTTTTTTAGATTTAAATGAGTTTGACCAGCATATGTGCTTAACTAGAGATATATTAAATTATTTTTCAGGTATTTGGCATGTACTGATACTTAGTGTGGGCTGTCCTTCTCAAAAACATCCCCATAGAACTTGAGAGGGTTGGATCTATTACTGATTGGGCGCTGCCTTACTACATTCTGAGCACCCCTAAAAAAAAATCATTAACTAAGCTAAAGGTTGTCTTTAGGCAACAAAATAGATCTGTTGCACGTATGGTGTGTTCAGAGCAAACGTGTTTTCGGCATCCAAAGCTCTTAAGCACAAGGACTTGGACGATTGGCCAGACATTGGTCAAGATGCTTTGATGCTTCGACACTTCGGCAGTTGAGCCACTCTGTTCTGTCATTGCAAGCTAGAGAGCTGCTTAATTTGATTTAATGGGTTGGAAAACAATAATTGTAATATTTAAGCTAGAAAGTCCACATTGTTCATTCAGTTAATCAGAATAATGATCCTGTTTAAATACTCTGTATTTGTACAGAGTGGCAGACATAACATACCGACGAAAGACAGTGCTGGGACTCCCCAGTGAGAGCTCTCTAAAGCCAGCCAGGCTGTCCTGGGCGACTGAAATGAATATAAGCAGGTTTTAGATTTGTGGTAAAAGTTCCAGAAAACATAATCAAATATTTTTTACAGGCAGGTTTTATAATTTTGAGTTAATGTAGGTATTTATAAACAGTTTTGCCACTGTTTAGTAAGAAATGTGTTTGTGGATTAATAATGATTATAGTTCTCTCTCTTTCCTTGGTACATACAAAAAATTCTCCTGTTTAACCCATTTATATTTATTCAAATTTTAGATGCTGAAAGTGCTGCAGAAGCTGGGATCACTGCTTGCATGTAGTAGCCATCTCCCAGAAAACCCCTGGGTTAGCTTTTCTACATAAGTACTGAACTTTAGCATTGAACGCCTTAATGCCCCAGTACTAGGAAGTGCCTCTCCCAAAGCTCGAATGTGGTGTACGACTTCTTGACGCTGCTTGATGCCATTCATACATCCACTTTCCATATCAATCAGATGATCTGAATCACAAGATGCTTTTGGTCTAAATGCACCATTATCTGATTGGCATATTTTTGGTTTTCTGATGTAGGATTTAACCCGGAGGGATCAATGTAGCATTTTCTTTAAAAGTAACTCCATGGCTTCTCAATCTGCTGGTCCAAAGTGGTTTACTCTCAGATTCCAAAACACAGAGGAATTAAACCTGTATATTACTGCTGAATCCAAACCAGCCCCTAAATACTAATCCTTAGCACTTATCCTTCGTCTGTGTGTTCCTGCGGAGGGTCCACCACATCAAGGACTGTCCCAAAGCATGTAGTGGGTAGGGCAAGTGGACCGTTCAGCCCTTAAATAGAGAGCCTTCATCAGTTCAGGCTCAATGAAAAAGTGGGTGTAATGGCAAACTACTGGCAGAGGAAACAGATGCATTTAAATGCAGTTCTGCTGTTTGCTGCAACTTCCTCACACTGACAGAAAATCACAAATTAGGAAAAAAAACAACATCATTAATTCCTAAATGGAATGTCCTCTTAGAAATGGTTTTATTTGATCAGATATATTTATTTTTAACAAAGGGGAAAATGTTTGAGATGTTAACCTACAACAGAGATACAGCCATGCACATGTGGCATCACTGTGTTGCCATAGCAACAAGTGTTCCCTTCTCAGTTGGAGTGAAGAGGCTGTCCCATTCACATTTATACCCCTCACATACAATCCTGGCTTCTTTCACAGCTGTGAGTGTGACTTTATTGGGATAGTTAAGGGTTAGTGATTAGGGGGCTGTTTGGGATTCAGCCTACATCTCTTGCACTCCTAGTGGCTAAAAGTCAAACAATGTTGCCTTAATAAAAAAAAACCCAACATTTATTAAAACTGAATGAAAACAAGTCTGCATAATTTATCCAATCAGATGTAATGGTTTGACAAGTCTTATATCAGTCACTCACCTACAGTAAGATATATTGGAAATAGCTAAAATATTAATTTTGAACAGCAAAAATTAAACAAAGAGAGAGTCTTTCTAGTCTAAAATAATGAGTTGCATCCATTTTTTGTCAATATGTCACGAGACATAAAAGTTATTAATACATATTTACCAAGAGTGTGTGGGAGAAAGAAGCAGGTAAATTTAATCTCTAAGTCAGTCACTGATCAGTACGGGCTTTGGACCCCGTTATAAATTTAGTCTAGAGCCGCCACTGTGATTTCAGAGCTTGTTTTCTGTCCAATTATATGTAATATCAAAATAATATGGACATTTTTTCCAGAACAAGATGCCCAGCCCTTATAACCCCTCAGGGAATAGTGTGCAGCTAGAGAGCACCCCCACGCTCACCTGAACAAAGCAGCAAAGACAGACATGTTTTTTTTTCTTTTGAGGCATTATTTATATACATTCAATTGCAAGCATGCAGTATATTAAATGGAAAAAAAGGTTGTTCGTACTTTTTTTTGCGCAAACAGACAACTTTCTTGTTTTAGCTGAAACTGATATTTCTCAAACAGAATTGGATACAAGTGCGCGCTTCTATTCCAAACCCATAACCAACAAGAAAGAACTAAATAGAGAACTAAAAAAAGGAAAGAAAAAAGAAAGATAAGGAAAAGTTTGTTCCCCAAATTATTTTATATTAGATTTTTTGTTTTACCTTCGATACAGCAGATTCTCCACAGTCCAGAGTGCGTTAGGTCCCCCTTCACTTTCTTGGTTTGCATCTGGCTGTCATCTGTGGTGACATTGGTGGCGTTGCATATGTACGCCCGAGAGTACAGCCAGTAGTCAGTGCCAATGGCTATAGTCATAAGGCTGAAAGCGGCGAAGGCTCCCACGACAGCGAACAAAGTCTGAACCCCTCGATCACACCATGCCATGGCGTCTCATAATGTGAGCATCCTCCTCCACAGCGGTTTACGCACACAGCTAGACAAGCATGATAAACACTGAGCAAACCCTGGGACCAAACCAAGTGTCGATCTTTCCCGGTAGCTTTCCCTTTTTGTTTAGTTTTTGTTGTTGTTGTTGTTGTTGTAAACTTCAATCGGAGTTTACCAAAAAAAACAAAACAAAAAAAAAACAAAAACAAAGAGAGACTTGCAGAGATAAAGATCTTCACAGCTTCTTATTCTGCTGGCAGCGATGATCAGTCCAGCTACAGGTGGAAATAAAAAAATAAATCTTGTGATGAACCCGCAAAGTTTTATCAATATATCAACCCGTGTTAAAGAAAAAAAAAAGAAGAAAGAAAATCAAGATCTGCTCCAACCAGACAGGGAGAGGCGCTCTCCACAGTTGTGTGTGGCGTTAAAGCGCACAATAGATGGCGCATCCAGGCCACACCTTCCAGCGCTTTAACCAACTGAGAGCGGAAATGAATGAGATGAAAACATACTGTAACACCATTAGGAACCACAGAGATCCGGTTTTGACCTTAAGGGATTCTATTGGCAAGACAAAATATATTTGGAGAAATAGAAAAGTCGATGTAGGCATCAAAGCTCCCTAATTGTCGATTCCATTCAAAGATTTTTTAGGCTACTGCCTCCAGATTGTGATCGCGCTTGGTTTTATGCATCGAGTAAAGTTAAACAGAAAAAGGTGGAATAAAGGCATCGATCAAAACCACTTTAAGGAAGGCTGCATTAAATATCAAAAAGCTCATAAATAAAGATCAAAGAGTTAACGCCTACAGTTCAGCCTATGAGATGTTTGCTTCCTTTTATCTGGTTTTGTCTTTCAAGATATATAAAACACATTTTGATAACGTCCAAAACGTTAATGTATTTCAGCAAATCATTTTAAAAAAGGAAAAAAAATATGTATATGCAGCTGTTTATACTGATTCTGATTATAGTTTATAGCTTATGTAAAACAGTTTCAAAGTGTTTCTCCTAAATTTGACATTTTAATGAGTGATCAATAAAAATGATTTTTGACACACAATCATGAAAAGGGGACCTGACTAATTATCCAGTTTTTATTGACACCCTCAAAGGAGAAAGCAAGCTACAACAAGTCATTGCTAAATAAGATGACTGTTCAGATGGCTGTATACAAAAGTATAAATGTAAAGTTAAAGGGAAGGAAATTCAGTAGAAGAAAATGCTGCACAAGCAACAGAGACAGCCAGACTGCAGCCCTTCTTGTATGATTTGGGGTAGGGGGTCAAATAATCTTTTTGTTTTGATCTACTGGGTTTTTTCAGAACCTTCATTCATTTAGAGCCTGTGCCACAGAAGGTCAGTGCTTGGTTACCAGGTGACACCTTTTTCAACCAGTTAGTTGAAGCAAGTATCAAGTTGTAGAAGTTACTCTAGGGGTTGGAATAAAGATCTAGACCCACAGCTATTTCGTGATTTTTCATCTTGAGTTGTGGTGTGGAATAACATAGCCCAGACCATGCTTCAATATTGGGCATATATCAAAAATATCTGCGACAAGCTCCCTGCTGCACTTTGCTGCGGGACTATAACCAGCCCTTAAGACAAATTTCAATGCAGCTTTTCAAAAGTGAATGAGCAGCTTACAACAGTGAAATGAACATTTGTAAGTGCAGCAGTGATCAGCAGAATATGGTGCAAAATGCAGTAGAAATATTGAGTTGAGTTCTAGTTAAAGGGATTTGAAAATTTGTAAAATTGTAGTGCAAATATGATGTTTACAAGTGTGATGCAGAGTCATGATTTGTGACTTGATTAGGATTTCAACAGTTCAACAGTCTGATGGCAGTTGGGAAAAAGCTGTTGTAGAACCTGCTGATCATGCATCGAATGCTGGAAAGAATCTTACCAGAGGGCAGCGGGGAGAACAGTCCATGTTGGGGGCGTGAGGGGTAGTTTATGTTGTTACGGGCTCGGAACACGTAGCGCTAGGATGAAATGTCTTTAATGGAGGGAAGAGGAGCCCCAATGATCCTCTCTGCTGTCCTCAACACTCTTCTCACATTCTTCCAGTCTGAAGAGCTGCAGTCTCCTGCCCCACACAGTGAGACAGCTGGTCAAAACGCTCTCTATGGTGCTTCTGTAGAAGGTTGTGAGGATGGGCGCAGGTAGGTGGGCTCTCCCCACTGAAGTCAACATCAGCTACACCCGCTTGGGGGGGAGGGTGTGTTGTAGTTAGTAATCATCCATATCAGTGCTGTTTTCGTCAACAATGAGGATGATGAAATAATTTCGTTGACGCTCCTTTTTTTTCATGATGATAATGAAATCTGACTAGCTAAACCTGGATCTTTGTTGACGCAAACTTGGTGTGAGTGCTTGTCAACTAGACTAAGTAAAAATGTTAGCAGGTGGTTGATCAGACATTTAAAATGCATAAATGTGCTCCAGTTGTGTCTGTTAGACAAGCTAAGCAGTGTCAGCTGTGCAGCTGATTCTGGCTTGGTCACGCCGTCCACCTGGTGTGCAGTGGTGCACATTCTGCATGACCACAGATGGATCATAACAGCAGCAGCAGGGATGAAAATAACCGGGAATGGTCGGGTACTATCCGCTCAACTTGACAAACTCTGCTCTTCCAGCTGTACTTGTGCAGAAGTACGTTTTTGCGCGGCTTAGCTCAGAGTCTGTGCTTCAAACTCCACACTGATGGTTCAGTATTTGTCTTCCTGCTCTCACTACATAATAAACTATATGTGGCTGATTATCCTCTGTCAAATATAAAAAAAATCCCTTTGTCCAACTATCAAGATTTTATTTCTTCCAGCTCACAAGATGGAAGAAATTCAAGATTATGAATTTTAACATAAAACTGACTAAAACTAGACTAAAACCTATGAGAGTTTTAATTGACTAATAAGACTAAAACTCTGTCCGGAATGGATTAGTTAAGTCATGACTCAGTCAGGGTGATAGTGCTGCAGTTATTAATCTACTTCTTTGAAAAATGTTTGAGTTGTAGATTATCTATTTTGGTTTTCAGTGAGTTTTTTTTTTTTAGCTCAGCTGTCAGCCCCCTATGCAGCAAAGCTTTTACAGTCTTTCACACCATTTTCGCGTACTCCTTCTCCAGGGTGTTATGCTCCACAGGTTTGATGCTTTGTAGGCGACTGGGGCCTGTGCTTGAAGCTCTTTGAAGCTCCTTAAACGGTTGAGAGTAGTTGTACTTAGTACAGAAAAACAGATCACCATAGCTCCAGTAACCACTGGCGGTTTAAGATACAGGATTGATGGCAGGCAACTACAATTTGGAGGTAGCATGACTAAATACAACCCAGATGGGACTCGAACCCACAATCTCCAGCTCCGGAGGCTGATGCCTTATCCATTAGGCCACTGGGTCATCTGAGTTTATCCGATACATGCTCGCAATAGTCGGTGAGAACAACATCCAGGACAGTCCTTTCTTGGTCTTGTGTTTTTGTGAATTGGAACAGTGCTGGTTCTGAGGCTGATGATGTTTCACGAGCACATGAGTATATTGAGAAACGGTCAGAATGTGTCTATCTATCCACCAATTAAGGAGAAAAGGAACAACACGGACTGCCCACAAGTGCCATCACTGGTGATTAAATAGTTAGCTCTAAAAACACAGCTATTCTGTGCGGAGCTACATGTATACAAGAGCGAGATTACCTGGTTTGGAATTTCTTTCGTCTAGCCGAAACAGGCGCAACCAGTGCAGGAGCCAAATTTTCTTTTGGCCAAGATTTCTGCACAAAAAAATACCCTTAATTGGTATGATGATATCTTCTAATTAGGGTTTTTACCAATTATAAAATTAAAACCTGGAATACTTCAATATATCAAGGATACATCCATTAGTTTTTACCTTTCATAATCCACTAGATGTATAAAAAAACCTTTAGGCTTATCAAAGCTCACATAACTCATGAAAATACAACAATAACAATAATCTCTGCAGTTAAGGCTACAAGAAATAATATTATCTTGTTCATTTATGGAAGGCTTGAAATCTGACTTCTTTCAATCCAAGAAGGCCCTAGCTGGGGCCAGCAGGGTTTTTTCAGTGGGTGTTCTTTATAAACTAAAATGCTAACGGATGGTTTGACTGTTATACTGTCCCATCTTTGACTGTTGGCTCCAAGAAACTGCAGGCTCTGTGCCACTTCCTTTTTTGTCAGACAACTTGAAGGGCATACATAGAGCCTTTATTGGGGTCTGAATGTGTTACACATCGAACATAAAAAGTATAATATTTGTTTTTTAATTTTTTGATACCTCTGAGGCAGAAGGACTGAAACAATATTATAACTATAAAAAGTTGCTTTTGTTGAGAAAATATACTGTGAATGTTGTATGCTAAACTCTAAGTAAAAAAATAGCACAAAGAGACATTGAAGCAAAAATGGCTGGAATGCCAACACATAGAAAACAGAAATGATTCATTTATTTTCTGAAAAGTAGCAGAAGCAAACTGAAATCACCAACAGAAACAAACTGCATTAGAAAATGTAAGTGTTGAAAAAAGTTAAAGAAATTTAAAATATGGACAAAAACTTAAAACAGCCATGTAAGACTACCAACACAGATTTAAATAAAGCATTCCCATAAATATAAAAAAGGTTTTAGAGATCACAAAGTGATTGTGCAAGATGCTCACTATAGTGTAGATGCAGTCTAGGTTTAAAGTAATTTTTTAGGTGGACCAGTTAGAATGTTCAAAATCAAAAAAAAAAAAAGAAAATCCATTAAAATAGTTATTTATGAACTTTAAAAACCCCATTTAAGCTATCACCGATCAAACACAAGGGTTTGGGGGCATTGAAGTTTTTTTTTTACCTGGACCTGTTTAAATGTGATCAAAATGCAGTAAAATCAATTACAATAGGTATTTACTGATTTTTTAAATTAATAAAGGGTTCACAAGTTTAACTTAGGGGTTGAAACGTTCTTCTATTAGCACAGAGCCATGCAACTCAGGTTTGAACAGTGTTGCAGCTTTTGAGCTAAACCATGTTGAATGTGATCAAAATACAATAAAATCAACAAGAAAAATCCCCAAGAAAATTTTGGAGGTGTCTGCCACTTGGTGCCTATTGGCGTGTGCGTAATATTTGGAGTGGCACCATTGGCTTAATGGGTTTAGTTGGGTTCTCCTTACATTGTTATATATCACATACCAGTTGGCAAATTTCTTGCTAGTGATTGATAGTGACTGGAATCACCATATTGAGTGGCGACTTGTGTGACATCAGCCACTGGGGACTGGCTTAACAACATCTATTGGGGACATGCATCGCTGCATCTAGTGGGCGACAGATGTCGCAACAGCTAGTGGTGGTTGGATTTGCCAAACCTACTTGTGACCTGGGATAATGATAAAGTTCT